TATCTTATATCAAAATCGCTTGAATTGCAAAGTTCCGCTTCAAATTTCTACATACTATTTCTCAAATATAACGTTGACTGAAAATAAAAATATGGAATCTACGAAAATAATGTCAAGTTATAGAATAGATAGACAATGAAATTCTTGGCCTTTTCTCTTTCTCTCGTAACAATATGCAACGTAACAAAATAACAATATGCTTCATAAAAATAGCGTTGCAAACAAATTGTTCTATAGAGTAAAACAAACCAAGTTTTTTGGTAATAGCTTCTATAATCGATTCAGCGCCTCGAAGCATACATGGAGTTGTTCCACACACTTGCACAAAATTTTTTCCCATTGGTTTCCGATTGAACATTGAATAAAAAGTTGCCACTTCGTATACTCGCATTCGTGCAATTCCTAAAAACAAAAACAAATTTTTTTCTTCCAGATCAAAAGTTTCGTAAGTGAATCTAGAATCCACTAGAAATTTCAACAGCTCAACCACATTTGTTTGAAGATTCAACATGAAGGACGAATAATGCAATGAAAAAAACTAACCCAAAATACGAGCAACTTCATGCATCGCTGAAATTGGTAACCATCCATGTTGTCGTTGTGCTAAATCTAACATAGGAATAAGTGCAGCACACTAAAAGATGATGTTATATCATAAATTAGCATAAATTATTATATGTTAGTACAGGACAAACAAAAAAGCTGAAGCGAAATAAATATTCAACAATTTTTCACGAAATAGATGATATAACAGTCAACCAAAAATCAAACAATTCACTTTACATGAAAGATATGATTTCGTTATATTTTAATTCCTGAAATGCTGATGCACTTCTAATTTTTTTTTCGAGTTACCATTATGATATGAAGGAATCTTATTACCAACCTCAGAAGCACACTGAAATGGAATTTGGTTCTTAGATTAAATTAATGCTTAGTCAATAGTGGACATCACTATCGGTTGCATGAAATTGTCTTAAAATTGATTATATTTTTTCACTCTCTTACCAACAGACAAAAAATCACCTTATACTCCGGTGGATATTTTGAAATCATCACTTCTATACGCTTCATATTTTCTGGCGTGAACTTGAAAGATATTTTGCTGTTATTAATTTCACTGTCACGATGTACAACCATACTATCACCTGGAACAAATGACATTCAACAACTGTAGCATACTTCTAAATGACTATCCAATTGAAAATTTAATAGTGTCTCTAGTCGATGTGTAATTATGATGGATCATAAATTATCTTTTTAAAGTTGAATTTTAATACTAATCATCCAAGCTTACAATTTAATTCACCCAAAAACTAGCATAATAGCAATTCGAATTGTTTGGTCATTTCCAACTACAATCTACTGTCTTCTCGATACTTGAAATTTCCAGGACATATTGTGTCTCATTTCCATATGACCAATTTACCTGCTCCTACCCATAAACCAAGATGGGATGCAAGGTTGGCTTTTAAAAAGCAGCAAGTAATGTTACTTGTAAATTTGCACTATATATACAGATGCTTCTTAAAAACAGCTGAACAAGCTGAAACATTTAGGATCAAAAAGGGCACAATCAATGCTACCGCTTTAAAAATCTAACTAATTACCAACCAATTACTTCTAACTAGTTACTTTTCCTTCCATTTCCCAGAGAATCGACTCGCTATTCCTTTGCATATTCACGAAGATAAACTGAAAATAGTGCCAAAAAAAAATTCTATCTAGAAATGCTTACTTGACCATCGTTTTGGCAATGAAAAGATACATCTCGTCAGATATCGTCTGGAAGCTACTTGCATTACTTTCCCTGATACGGCTGAAATAATTAAAATTTATTCATTATAGAGCTAGAGAAAATGACAACGGATTACATTGCAAAGAAAAAGCTCTCCTTTCCAAATTGCAACAGCTACTAAACGCTGAAGGATGCTCACTTACGTGAAAGTTTAACAATGTTAAACCAATTGCAATTAACGTAGCAAAACGAATGATAAAGTAAATTTTATGCACATCAGTGCCAAACTATCATCAGGCTACGACCTAGTTTATATTTTATGCCGTGATCGGAGGATTGAGAAGTGTACTTAATTAGATGATTAAATAGCCTCGATAATTTCTAATCGCCCAAATGTATCTGAAAACACAGCTAAAAAAAAAACAAGGTTAACTAGATTAAATTTAAAAATAGGCGAGATTCGAATGATTTCGAAGGTATTTATGAAGTTTGCAAAAACTTTTGTTCACATACAATTTAGAAAAGTCCTTTTCAAATGCAAATATACAGTTTTCATATATAATTATATGGTTATATTATAAACGTTACAATGGATATGCTGTAAACGTTACATAGATTTACATGGCAAAAATCACTTATAGATGAACTTATATTAATGGAATAGAACCGTTGCTTCAGCAGTGGTTCATTATATTTATAACATCTAAACACATGTTTTCCTACTTCGTTTTTCACTTTACTTATACTCTTCACTGTATTTCTCGCATAACGTTTACTTCATCTTAACTATTATTTTATAATTTGTGCTCATTTCTTATTGCCTGAGGCGATTGATTATTTTTCTAGGAAGCCCTTTCTCCATATATAATAAATAAATAGGGCAACAATATAGTAATTAATTAAAAAAACCAAAGAGCAGAATTAAACTTCCGGATTCTATATTTAGAATAGATCAATTAACCAAGTAATTTACTAATTTTTAAACAGAAGCAATAAAGGATTAAAGGAAAAAGAAATTATTATTAACTAAGCCATAAAGAAGAAATTTTAGAAAGAATGACAATATGAGAACAAAAAAATCATGGATGAAATAGAAAGAAATAATTTTTTGATAGGCGCAAAAAAACAATAAAATAAAATTCTTTGATTTCATTGAATTAATCAAAAATAGCGGAAGATGTACGCATCTGTTAGCAAAAATATTTCAGTATTTTTGTGTGTGTGTGTGCATAGATGAAATATTGCAAGCATAAAAGGAATGAAACTGAAAACTATCAAAACTATCAGCTAAATAAATGAAATGTTGAGAAACATATCAATTAGAATATGATTAAATACAGTATTAAAATAACTACTCAAATTTTGAAACCATGCTTGCAAACAATTAAGGCTAAAGTCTGAAATATTTTTGATGAAAGAAATTCATTTTAGGATAAATGTCTCAGCACATTCCAATAACAAAAAAATTCAGCAAATTTGAAATGCATGTTTATCTTGACAAAGAAAAAATCAGATTCAGAAAAGAAAGCATGAGCACAGTAAAACTGATAATGAAAATTGGTTCTGCAGAAATTACATTCAAACTTTAAAAAAGTGAAACGATTTCAACAAACAACAGTTGTCGAAATAACGAAGAAACCATTAGAAGATACAATAAACACTTTTGCAGGTAAACCCGCGATATCTAATTTTATCGATACAGTCCCTGAATTGAAGCATCAAATATCACGGGATAACCTGCTTTCTTCTCTTCGATTCTCCTCGTCTTCGCTCCTTCCTGGTTGTTAGATGTTCTTCGTGATTTTGAAGATGCATTTAGCCATTTTTCAAAGTTTGTTCCAATATTGGAATACTGAGAAAAATTTACTTTAAAATGCATCTTATCAAAACCCAAGATTAATCCGTATGAGCAAACATATTCATCCACGCACACTGAAAGAATAAAGAACCTCAACTAGTAAGAAGCACCACATTAATAAATCATAAAAATATATGTAGGAAATAAAATAATCTCTTCAGCTTATTTTCTATCAGAAAAAACAAACACGAAAGCATTTTAAAATAATGAAATTGTAAAGCAAATGAATTACCAAGCTAATCTAAAACAGATTCATTGATCGACAATCTAAACGAATGACCATGTCAACAATCTTATGTACAAACAGCCTTCCTTTCAAACTTCATCCTGAAGAGACCTTTCGCCTAGTAAAGCTACATCAAATGCTCTCTACTTCACCATTAAATGGTTACATATTTGTCAGCATTATATACATCAGAATTAATCTCTTGAAACAAATCAAGGTAATGATCCGCCTCCTCTACACTAAGAAAATGTTATCTCAGACTGCTGGATTAAAAGCCAAACTCAACCTAACAACTCATGATATTCATTCAAGCAGTTTGCTACGCATTGAAATTTTTTGTGTCCGTTAACAACAACATGAAATTAAAAAGACTTAAACAATGTGGATTATAATTAAAACGAAAAAGAGAAAGAAGTTTTAACAAAGGTTACAGAATAACAAGGATAGAAAATTTGACAATAATACTCAAAAAGAATAACTTAAGCCGTTTTAACAATTGATATTTTAAGAAAATTAGAGAAACTATCGTTGAGTATTACAAGATCATATCATTTAAATGTAAAAAAGTTCGACACATATCTCTCTAAAGTAGAATATAGCAAAAAAAGTGTCAAAATATAAAAAACAATCAGCAAAAAATGAATTCAAAATCCGATGACTGTAACGAAAGACATTAGAACAGACAATAATGAAGTACTTCTGAAAAACAAAACTAAAAGACGAAAAAGTAAAAAAGTAAAAAAACGAAAAAACTAAGCGCTAAAAATTATAATTTTCTTCAAAAATATTCTAAAAATGAAGTAAATGCGATGAGAGATGTCAACTAAATCCCTTTTTATTGTTGTCTTCGCTGTAATTCTTCCACCTGAAAAATGAGTAAAGCAAAAGAAAACATACATCAAAATATACAGAATTTTTGCATATGCATTGGTTGTCGTGTGCAATAGAAAATCCTACTGTAAAGAATGGAAAGATTGAAGGAAAATAATATTTGCTTAACTGTCTCCAATCAGGACGTACAACAACCAATTGCAATAAAAGGAAATGTCTACGTTTTCAATTTAAAATCCTTACAATACTGTGCTATGCTATGTTTTACTTCTTAATCGTTATTGCATTTGACCATATTTCACAAAATGAACATTAAAAATAGTAGCTAGATCCACTCCAATTAACAGTTACATGGATAATTCATTGAAACTTCTATCTCTTATACTCAGCAAATAATCCTGAAAATTTACACTTACTTTTTCATTGTACAATCTTTCTTCTTCAGAATCTTCTTCATCGGAATTGAAACTGTCACTGTCATGACAACTTTCCGAAAGATGACGACCATCTGTAGTCTCATCTGATGGACCCTGTGCAGCCGATACACCAAAAAAAGTTTGAGGTTTTAGACATGAGACCTGACATATCGTTCCATTTCCTTCGTCGATATGAGATTTGTTTTCCATATGATTTTCATTTTGTAAATTAGCAGGTTTCTCAGAAAGATCCACGTTTTTGGTACATAAATTGCTTAAATGATCCGCTAAAATAAGCTTTTAGAAAGACATGGCACTATTTACGTAGGCATATAAAAATTTACATGCAACTCAATAAAAAATACGGTTAGAAAAAATAAACGACATTCAAACTTCAACGAAATATGGCATTTATTAAGCGAAACATACCATTAGCAGCGACCAAATTTCTCAAATTCCTTGGACTTTGGTGCAACCTGAACTTAGTTGAAACCAATGGACTTCGGTCTGCAACGTTAAGAATAGATGATTAATTCATATCAATCAAATAAATAAACCTTCTAGCAATTTTGTACTGATTGATTAATAATGAAGATTTCAACAAATAATGATTTAGTCTGCTTTCATATAATCTTTAAAAAAAGAGACATCCAGAATTCTTAAAAGCTATATAGCAGTCCTTCCCAATGAAAAAAAGCCTCTGCATCGCCTTTTCAAACAAATTTAAAAACAAACTACAGAAACAAGTAGCTTGTCCTTATATTCTGCAGAATTCGGATTTGCAAGCTATAAAAATCACGAAGTATTTACTTTCAATAAGTACAGAATAAGCTTAAAGTAAGATTACGATACTGTGATATTTAGTTTACATGTTTTGTTCATTTCTATTTATAGAAGCGAAAGAACTTCATAAACAGCAAAATTAAATCAGATATGTTTACTTGATGTAATCATAGATTCCGACATTTCCATACCAGCTAATCGTCGTATTTCATGGTCCGCAACGCGCAAATTAGCCGAAAGTGCCTTGATCTGCTTCTCGTAATTTACACATCGTTCACGCCATTGACCTTCGATAAGTCCGTTTTGATAAGCAGAAAAGGTTGACGTTGTCTGTAATTGCATGTGTGAGCGACAAAGCGTTGTATAAGCACAAAAGCCTAAAACTTTCGAATTTAGCAAGAAATAATAACTTGCACCATCGGATCTTTTTTAACAATTATTGAAAATTAAGAAATAGCAAGTGCATCATCTACGGGTTATAAGAATGTCAAATCAGGCTACACAAAACCAAACCAAGCTACTCTAGTAACTTACCTTTCTAAAATATTCAAATCTTCCAGAATGGATTTGATGTTCACTACATTGGCGATGAAATGTGAGCGAATTGGAAATATTTGACCTTTTCAGATTTAACGGGACAATTGATACTTTGGACTTATCAAAAATTTCTCAGAAGAAAACAGAATTTAAGTAAACTAACAAATTCATATCTTTTATCGAAGGCAAAAGAAAAAACAATCATAAAGTGATCCGTAAATTTTGATCTTTTACCATTTGAATTGAATCCGTTGGTTTCAAAAACAAATACCCACTTTCCGCTTGGCGCCGTCTTTCTCTACTCCTCTGTAATACATCCAATCTGAAAATGAAAAAACGATCTAAAAAATAATCAAACAAATTCCAATATATCAACATCACACTGATATGCCTCCTGAAAAGCAAATGAATTCAGAAGGATTCACTTATTGCAACATTTTGAAAGAAAATCAATGTATGGAAATATAATAGGAAAAGATGCCACTACCACCATAGGTAAAACATTGACATCCATAAGATTAAATCGATGTAGTTAACATTAACCTCCTAATTTTCAAATTTGTAGGAAATATGTCGCGAGATTCTTCTTCGTTATTTTCGGACTGTGCAATATTTTCGCATTTTTTTAAAGAAACTTCTTGCGATCGACCCATTTTACTAGGGGAATTAGATGTACTAGTAATCATTGCATCGACAGGCCTAAATTCAGGACTTTATATTAATTACAGCCTAATTAATCATTCCTAATTAGTGACAACAAAGTCGTACAAGTTTCAGAAAATCGGAGAGTATATCTAAATCAATAAGGCATACAACTCATACTGATCATAAAAACGTTTATTACGGCAAACACTGTCAATAAGGCTATACTAAACTTTTTATTTCTTTTAGACTCTTTTAGACTTCAGCATGTAATCTATCGATTACGTGCTGAAGTCTAAAAGAAATAAAAAGAGTCTTATCTCAAACGATGACATGTTTGACATAAAACTTTTTCTCATATCTGACCATTAAAAAAGTGCGACTCGTGCAAGCTATGTAATTCAAGGCTGGATGATTGAATGGCCTACACTTAACAAGATATAACCAAATGTATTTCAATGAAATTTGTCCAAAAAGCTAACCTCAAAATTAGAACATAACAGAAGTTTTCTCATACAAAAGTTGCCCCAACTAAAAAAAGCAAAAAAGATTTACTGTTGCTTTCCCGTTACTGGTGCGAATTCTGAGTACTTCACCAAAATAAACGGATTGAACTTGTTCCGTACTTTTTCAATACCAACCATCCCATACCCACAGAATCCAGCCAACATGTAGATGATAACAGTGACAAATGGAAGTGATGGGAAGAAAAGATAAACCAGAAATATAGGCAATAACTGATCATCCACACTTGGTGGCAATTCGCAACCAGGGGCGCTTAGAAAACTGCAAAAAAAACTCAGAGCTATCTTTCCGTACTTTCAGATCAAGATTTGTCTACTGGGATCTTACATTTAGAAACGAAAAACTAGTGACTTCTGAAGTTCACACAAAAGATTCAATGGGAAGTCCCAAAAGAGGTACACGGATGGACTCCAGTCATTCGGAAACAAAGTTGTTCTATTGATGAGCTATTGAAACTGGATTTCAACGTTTGTTTTCAAGTCAATTAAAAGAATTCGCATCAGAAAAATCAGTTGTCAGAAGGTGCTTTCTCCTTCTCTACGGATACCAACTTCTTATTCGAAAAATAATAGTTGCATACCTGTTACCGATGGATGCTCGCCTCGAAAAAGTATCCGTTTTTAAATCACGCACTATTCCATGTAACCATCCTATCTGCCCCTCCATAACTGTTTTGTTCAAAGAACATCTGCATGAAGAAATAAAAATATTACATGATAAAAAGTGGGTTTTAGGGATCCAAAGTGAAGTCAATAAAGTTGCTGCAACAATTTATAAAGCACATTGACAATAGTGACTACTCCAAATTATGATAAATCACAGTTGCATATGTCTGAATGCTTAATTAGAGAGGCCAAAACAGTTAAACTATAAAAATTTAACCAACGGCAAGAATAAGCAAACGCTAAGGAGATGAAGAACCAAAAAATAAATTGTTGCCTAAATAGCAAGATGTCACTGTTCTGTGAACATGCAACAGTCTATTTTGAACTATTGACTGTTTTATCGCGAAAGATTTGTGCCATAAATTTATGGAATAATAATAAAAAGAAAAGAAAAAAAGCAACCTTATGGAATCCATAATAATTTCTTGTTCCGAAATAGCACTTGTAAAAAAGCTGTAGTGAAGCAGTATTGCAACTGCGACAAACGATAGGCTGGTAGTAATGCACAGTAAGCCTGGAAGTAACAGAAACCTACAGCTGAAGGATTTCAGTTCACACTCGTACTCTTCAAAGGTTTCATGCATATAACGAAAAACTTCCATTTCAATGCACAATGTAAATATTAAGCATTAATTTTCATATCATGACAATGCAGCTAGAAACCTAAGAAGGAACAACGATATAAAGAATAAAGTATGTGCATAGCATACCTCGCCAAAAGAAAGACATTTGTGAGAAGCCGTTTTTTTTAGCATGATTACAATCAAATAACTCTTTATCATCGTTAACGTGGTCCATAACAAGTGCTACTTGGTCTCGTTTTTCCGAATCATTTGAAGACTCGATCTTTATCCCGTCTGAAAATTATTTTAGGCATAATACACGGAGTGAAAGAAGTTTTTTCTGTACGTTATTCTATAGCTGTGTTTAAAAGACTAGAAAAGAAAAAACATTATCCGTAAAAACATATATTACCTTCATTACAATTGCGAAAATAAACGATCGCAAGTAAAAACAATATAAAAGTGACCATGATGGGACCATAGAAGTTTGCAGCACTTCTTACTGTGTGAAATCCGAAATAGCAAACACCGGTGATACCATCTGTTTCAATCTAAACCTTTTGGGATAAACAACTTTCTGTATAGACTGCCTGTTACGATGATCAGTACTGAATGTTGTACATTGCAAAGTAATTAAGACGACTATCTACACAGACAGCAGAGAAAGATAAGCTTATTTACGTTAAATTTATGGTAACGAATAAAGAAGGAGCCGCTGAGGTCAATAATCTAATGACAAATTCGCATCTATATTTATTTAAATCACTTCAATTTCAATTTATATTTTCACTCAGTAAATTTTGCATTAATACTGCAAATGAATACTCACAGTGTCTGCCCATAATGCAATTGCAGCCAATGAACCAGCCAGCAAATAACAAATAAGGAAAAAACAACGCAAATTAAGATTGTTACGCTTATTCCATTTGACTGTTTGGTCAGAACTGAGTTTTGGTCGAACGATTTGAATTGCTAATGCAATCAGTAACCAAAAGAAGCCAGATAATATCGTGGTATATAAAAGCCAAAACTGAACGCTGCACCAATCTAATAAACCCCTGAAGAGTTTTTAACGCAATATTTACTAAATTTTTAAGAAAGCGCATATCACCTGACGGTGAACAGATTATTTTAATGCTAAATAATTAACACAATGCACTCTCCAACTCCAAAGAATTAACACTGAGTACAATGTTCAAAAAACATTGTATAGCTATGGAAAGGAAATTATCTTTTTTTAACAAGACCTTAGTAAAATTTTTTCGATGCTCATCTCATCAGATCTTAAAACCTTATGACGTCTCAGAGGCCAAAGTTGTTCACTGCTCAATTCTGAAATCTTTAATTCCGCAAATGAGCTCGCAGAGCAAGGATGATTTTCTCATCACAGACGTCCCCATTAACTAAGTCTGCTACCCCATATATATACATTATTTCTATACATATTATTGTATAATTTAAATAACCACGAAAATATTACATAATATCAACAAAAGTGGAACACTGTGTGGTTAAAGGTGACTTGAGAGTTGCTAAAGTATTTTTCAAACAATTTTATTCTTATAACACAAAATATATTTCAGTAAAACCATTAAAATACCTAAAAACCTTTGCGTCACGCCTTAACGTATCGAAACACATTGCACGCTCTGCTACTCGATCAGCATAACTTAGTAACCATATGAACCAGTGAATGGATGCACTTAAGAGTGCATGGGTTAATGAGTAAACGCAAAGATCACTCGTAAAGAGAAGTGAGAAAATGAATAAATAAAGCTGAAAGCGATATTCTTTTAGTGTGAAAGAAATTCTTTTTTCTAATATATAGAATAAATGATTCATTTCAACTAATAATCAATGCTTTTAAGAAATGCGGTTAGCAATATGGGAATCAAAGAACTATCCGATTGAATAATTCACTAATTATAGCAAGGGGAAAATGGATATAACAGTATTCTGTTGACTAAATGTTATCATGGAAGGAGAATTACCTTTCGTGTTTAGCTACTGCTGAATAAAGCTAATGATCTGAACTTCTGAAACTGCTTGGTAAAGTAATTCTCTCTAAATGAAATATTCAATTCTTACCGTACAAACTAAACCACCAACAACAATAAGCAAAGAGAACGAAAAAATTAATGTCCTGAAACCATCGTATATCCACTGTGAGCTAATTAGAGGTGACCTGCAAAAGACCATTACATATTACTGCATACCATGGAGTAAATTTGCAGAAAACACATTTCCACGAAAAAAATTCTAAAAGACGGCTAAAGAAAACTGTGTACCTGCATGGAAGATAACAATCATCGATAAGCGATCGAGCCATCGGTTTACTATGACTTATTCCAATAGCTAAAGGCCACAAGCATTGCTTTGGTTCCATCTTTGCAGGCTCTTTGTTGTAAGCCATCTAAATGGAGACAAAAATTTTGAACTAAATTTAATCTATAAGTTACTTAGTGTAAGCCAATCTCTAACACTCAAAAAATTTTTCTATTCTAAAATTTTAAGAAGTGAGCAAAAGAATTAAATTCAGTCGTAGTTTACATAAAACAGTTCAAATGGAGTGTATTCACTTCCCCATTATAAAATTATAGAGACGCGATAAATTTCATTAAATTCTTTGATATTTTAAAGGTTGATTGTCAGCAATCTGGCAGTCGTATGGTTATTTTAAGGCAAGAGAAATTATTTGCTCGTAAAACAAGTTTGAAGCATCCAAAACTTCACGAAATTCGTTATACTGTTGTACAGTTTGTTGTGTTATTATGGTTCAGAAGCAAGCAAACTTAAAACCACGGCTTTCATGGACTTATACGCTGTGATACAGTTTAAAAAGTCAGAATCTTCTTTGAGGAAATATGAGATTGTTCAATTTCGAATACATTATAAACTGGAAAGCATAATTATACTTTCCAGTTTATAACGTATTCGTTGCCATTCAACCCCAATACTTCGCACTAAACCAATGCCATTCAAAAAATAACAATTTACATAATACATAATTTACCACACAAGGTCCATCCGAAAAAATCCGTCTTCCGTCCTTCGACTTGATAGTATCTGAACAGTTCACAAAACTAGGCCAGAAGCCGTTTTCCAAGAGAAAATCACATTTTTCAATTGCTTGTTGGCACATATCCTTCGGAAACACTTGCCATAATTCCATTTTGCCCGGCTATAATTTCATGAATTTGATTAAACGCCAACAAAATTACTTCTTCCTCAAAGTCAAAAACCGGGTCTTTTTAGCAAATATGCAACACAGTAACTTGAAAATAATGGCAAGAGAGAAAACCAATTCGTCAATGAGCATATTTTCTATCCGTGAGACAATTCGAAGGCCTCAATGATAGCCGTAAACTGTCATATAAACAATCTTTTTGACTAATTTTTCATTAGTTGTCTGTGTTATGAAACAAAAATACCTCATCCATCGAAACTTCAAAATATGCTCGGTTAGAGCATGGCCTATAAGCCACCGCACATAACAAAGGTCCCAATGCTGACCAACATCTACAAAACAGTTGCGCAAATTAGTTACTAACACGAATGTAGATTGAAATATGTCAAATCCAATGAAATTGGTATAATTCAGATAAGAAACATTTGCATGAAATAGTTGAACTAAAAATAAGCATTCTTACCGTGGGAATCTGCTAAGAACTTCATATTTCGACAATACGGTCATTACATTAGCAGTTTCAAAGGTGTAATTGTAGCGGATAGGTATTCCGAAGCAAGTTTCCGTTGGAGATGGTGAGACGCATAATCCGGTAGAACGATTTACATATTCCAAGCGACACTCCTGATTACAAGCCCAATCCGTATGAACACAGTTCGCATGGGTATAAAATATCTGCAAAATGCGATATGTGCAGATCTCAAAATTTTATTAGTTCTTCCTCTGATTTTCGATGCCGATGGTAGCTACTGGAAAGGAACTCTCGATCTCCTGTTAGTAAGTGAAGGACTCAAGTAAACAGGTTTGCAGTAGATACAGTACTAATGATGGAATAACAGAAAATGGAGAATAATAAATTAATAATTGATAAACTAAAGGACAAACAATAGATAAAGAATAAATAAAATAATTGCGCTAATGAAGTGATAGGAAAACTGGCAAGCCAAAAGATTAATATTTTCGCCAAATTAAACAATTTTTCAAATCAAAGGGATGAAGCATCTCAATGATCAGCACCTGCTTATTTCACGTCACGCATTTGCTAAAATCCATTGACTTATGAAATTGGCTAAACATCCACTTAAATGTACTTCAGTTTTACTCACGAAACAATGTTGAATAATCCTTCAATATATAAAAAATTTCTTCCTGCTGTGTGAGAGAGATTTGTGACAGCGTTTTCCGAACGGATCCATTTAAAAACCTTATGTGCACAAATCTCGTCTGGCATTCTTCGGTTAAAACGTTATAGCCAGTTTGTTTAAAGCTTTTGGCACATGTTTCTGACATCTGTTAGCTATTGACGGTTCCAAATATCAAGATATAGCGTAAGTTCAACTTTTCCGCCCTTACATATAATAGAAGATGGTTATGTCGGAATGCCCAAAGTCAATTGACTTCTTCTTTAATAAAGCTAATTATAGATATGAAGGAAATCACAAAATCAAATCATTTCGCACCTGTTTGATATATTGTTCGCTATGACCCACGGCACGTCCACTACGTCCGGGATTTTCTTTAGTGGCGTAACATGATAGAGATTTATTTAGTACCAACAGTAAAAGCATGTACAAAAATAAATACATTTTTTCCGTGTACGGATAACCATATCGTTGCGCACAATCAACGCTTCCTGAAAAATTGTGATTTCTTGGTACAGAATGGTCAGAAACCGAAGATAAAACATGAAGAGAATGCTACTACCGCTATAATTTAAATTTCTATTAAATAAATCAATCAATTTCACTTATTTAAATCAGTTTAAAGAAATTAGTTTGATTTGTTTGAATTTCTAATAAATCAAATTGAAATAATTACACTTGTCGAGATCACTGCTTAAATTTTTCTATGGAAGGTGAAATAATTTAGCTGACTAAACCGACGTTATTGAAACTAACCTATTCAAACTCATCAAATTGCAGAAGTAATTTTACACATTTCTATTTCATATTAAACACTGTAGATTATTACTGTGAACAATTTGAATTTGAATAATAAGAGTACCTACCGCGTTCCATAGCTCGAGTTCAACGAATACGAAACTAATGTTTTAACCTTTATGAAGATCCATCTTATGGGCGTGTAATTCACGTTAAGATATTCATAAATGATCAACACTTTCTCACTCCTCCTTTTCTCATCTCTCAAGTTCAAATCCTCCAATCGCATTCTACGATTCATCATCAAAGGTCCTGACCTCACTAACTCCTCCCATGCCTTGCACTCACAAAAACTCTAATATTCCGCAAGAGAGACAGATATGGTGTGGATGAGTAGGCAGGCAAACATGCGGATGATCGGACGGAAAGGCAATATAAATATGCAGAAGAGTACAGATGCGCGTAGGCGGAAATTAAAGATGAATTAGACGGTCATATATACAGGCCAGACAGCGGCAAAACTTTTCGAAATTTTCGGAGGCAAGGATAAACGAACAAAACAAATAGTACGAGGAAAAAGAAATATAATTGGAAAATTCGTTGAAAACCACAAAGTGATGGAATTGATGGACAAATGTATGAATCAGGCTTTTCAAATTAAAAAAGGCAAAACTAGCCAAGAATCTAATGATGGATTTTGTCGTTATCATATCATTTCAACTAATATGTACTACAACCGCATCAATTATCAAATTCAAGCAGTTTTCTTCCTATCAGAAAAATTGCTTATTCCATAATGGCTCTCTGATGTCCAAAGAAAGAATCATCATTATTTTTCCACTGCTTCGAATTCATATATCATTCGCACATATTAGCTCCATCATACTAATTCAGATGTTTGTGGAATAAGAAGCCTTATCCACAGCAGTGTATTGTAGATCCTAAGTCTCTTTTGTCATCACAATTATCACCACCACTTAACAGCTAAATCTCATCATTATTTCACTGGTTTCAAATCTAATAAAATTAGTTGATTTGTTTACATCAATCATTATATCGAACATTTTAATAATTATTTCCGGACGTTGAACTCGTTATCATCAGGCAAAATAAATCAAATCAGTTCTAAGCGCATGTTGGCAACCTATCGAATTTCATGAACTTGTACTTGCTTGTTTAACATTAATTTGACAAATCAAATATATTTAAGTTTTATATTTCTACTAAGTTTCGACATAATAATTTAAAGATCGCATACAGTTTCCCATGACTAGTTAAAAGTCATTGAAAAAACGGTGAAATTTTCTATTCCTTCTTTCTTACTTTCTTAATGCCTTTTTGAGTCCAATAATAGTTGACGATAATCAAGCCAAAACGAGAATTTTCTGGCCGACTACATATCATTTAGGTTTTATCAACTTCATTACACTCCCAGTCTTACTTCATCCCAAATAAGTAACATTAAGTATTCCTTTCTAGAAAATGATATGAGAAAAAATATCAAATCATTACTACGAGTTACTATGATTTCAAATCAATTTAACAAGCAATCAAATACTTCCTCCGTTAGTTCTCTTACTTTGTTAACCTATAATAATCGTTTGCAAGCAACTCAAGCACTTTATATTCCCATTTGTGATTGAATAAATATCTTCAAGCAAAGCGAATTTCATTTTATTCCTTAGCCAATTCATCTGTTGATGAATTTCAAATTTCATCTGTTGATGAATTTTTTCAATTCATCTGTTGATGAATTTCATTTTATTCCTTAGCCAATTCATCTGTTGATGTGTAAGATAACTATATTAACTTGCTCTAACAAATTTGAATCAATTTCCACTATACCTCTTATGAAGCCTCTTTAGTCTATTCATCTTATACCATCACTTAATCTTACATAATGATTGAATCTTGTCACTGGAAATAAGATAGAACAGGTAATGACAACACACACAACTCATGTATTCTATTCTTTCAAATGTAATCATATAGGGGAAAAAAAGCCAAACAAACTGGCAAAGTCATAAATACGCCATATGTCGCAATGAATATTTACTAAAGATGGTACTACGTTATAAATTTAACAAAGATATGTGTTAAAAAAAATCATAGGTGTGTTAGTAAATAGGTTCAAAACAAATTTTAAAATCGTCTGAATTTAAATACAATTATGAAACAATAATATTTTTGAATATACGATAGCTATTCAACAACTCTTTCCCTCTCTCTCTTTCTTCGATTACTTATAATTGGTATTTCATCTTGGCCATTTATATGTCAATTTCGTTTATCATTTATATATCAGTAGCCAATCCGTGATCAATTTTTCACAATCATTCATCTCTCACATTATGCACATATTTCTTATCTTATCATTCCGCACGATAACATTTATCAAAACAACATAAAAATGTATATTTACAATTATTTTCACGGTTATTTTTATAAGGCTCAAATATTGACGGAGGTGTAGCTGTTGCTATGATTTTTTGTGAATACCTAAAATGTATTTAATAAGAGCTAGAGATGGATTCTGGTTGTTACACGTATTTAACGGCAATAATTTTCACATATAGAAACTCTCGTCGGTAACAACTGTAACGTGAGATCACGCGTCACGGCAAACTGGGCACGTGAAAAGATACATAGAATGCAAAGAATACGGAAATTATCGGAAACGTACGGCGTGTCGAAAGAGTGATATAATGAAATATTTCAGTCTCAAGACGACTAGAACCGAATAGTGAAAAGATTTCACGTGAATATGACGTGGGTAGTAATAAGACATGTTACCATTGATGGATACTGTTTACGTTTTACAGATATTTTCGTTAAGGAATGTCGTTTATATGTGTAGTTTGATCAATATCATATTTCTAGCCTTGGATATTATATTACAAGGATTGTTGTCTGGAAATATATTAACGTATGCCTGTGTGAGAAATTGTGTCACATTTTGACTATTTCACACTACCATCCTATGACGCTTACGTGAGGTGCGTAGTGCATAGCACATACGTGCACCTATAGATTGGATCATCTTTCTGTGTGTGACGTAACAATGCGAAAAAAGTGCTTTTTCCTTCATATTCCCGTGCTATAATCATTTTATAGATGATGGGAGACGTTTGCGAAGAAATATCAACGCAGCAATCGACGTCAGAGTTGGGTGAGAATCAAACAACCAATAAATCGAAAATGAGACAGAAATCAGAAATTCAGGTTGGTCATTTGCTAATTTGTTATTTACTTCATTAATGATTTTATCCTTAGATATTGATTTGTTAACTAAATAATTTAAATGAGGTAACTTCTTGCTCTGTCTCCACATGAGAGGTAAAACTGTTAGGAAGGGATGGGACATTTATAGGAACAAATAGCAAACTATCTCAAACGAAAGGATAAAGCCTACATAATCCTTGGCTAAAAATTGTGCCACAAATTCACTTTTTGTCTGAGTGAAGTTACATCTATTGCAAATTTCAGAGCATCTCCTATCTGATTTTCATTTCCATTATCTATTCCAGATTTTAATTGACTTCTTCGTTCACACTTTTTCATTTTTGTCATTTTAAGTATTTCAGTAATATGAATGAATGGTTAAGTTGGGAATCTTTGCTATAAAATTACTGCAAATTGAGAGCAAAATAAAATGATAAAAGAATGATTGGATAATTTTGCAGTTGAATAAGCGCTATTCTTCACGACATTCTCATATAGGAAAAGACACTACGAGATCCGAAGCTGTTGAAAATGCAACACATGGTATGATTTTGTAGATTGACAATTATTGATCAAATGCATGATATGACTTTGTTAGAGTGACAATTATTGATCGAAATTGTAAGGTTTTGGTGTGGAAACTTCCGCTTCGGAGTCTGAAATGTATAACAAGTTTGAATGCTATAAATTGGGCCCTGTATTTTAAGATAAAATAACAATTTGTAATTTTTTTATTTGAGTTGAGTTTTTATGTTCGAAACATGAAGAAAACAAGTCTTTTAGTACATGTTATCTCGAATTAAAAGATCCAATACTGGCGCTTATATTTAATACAAGTATTCCACATATTTTCTAAATTTGTTTCTTTTTTTGCTTGGGAAAATGATCCCTGTGTTGTAGAAGTGGGTGATATTGAAGAAGAGTTGGAATTTAAATATGGCACACAGCACGTTATCCATCTCTTTGTTCCGGTTTCTATTTGCATGGTGTTTGTTATATTCACGATGAACACCGTTGGTTATTACACTCACAAAGATGGCCAATATTTGTAAGATTGTTGTAAATAAATGAACATTATAAATATATGTTTAAAAAATTCAAAAATTCTGATCAGTTGTTTACGATAAAAAGTATGAAAACATTAGATTCTTTACAGTCGAAATTACAGATTGTATAAATGTATAGTGTTTAATATAACGGAGGTATACTTTGAATATCCGTACTAGATAAATTTTGAGATTTTGCAAAACCATCAAATATACCATGTACTCTGTGAAAGTGCCTCAATTTTCTAGCATCATGAAACAAGTAGTGTTGCCATCGATTTTCAAAATTTCCCAATTATTCAGAATTATATAATTGAGAAATTATAGCAGATTAGAAATTACTTGACGGTTATATGAATTCAAAATTATGTATGCCAGAACTTATTACATTGATTTATATAATTAAATAACGCTATGCTGCAATTAAATTACTGTATTCTTTTTTATTTTATATTTATGAACTTGTTAAGTTTTCAGAATATATACTCCATTTACTAAGGAAACTGACAGTACAAGTGAAAAGTTAATGATGTCCTTCGGAAACGCGTTTGTTATTCTGGGATTGGTGATAACGATGACTGTTTTATTGATTTTTCTTTACAAATTCCGATTTTATCGAGTTTGTCTTATTGTTTGATTTTGACCATGAAAGAATATGAAACTTATTACACGCATCTTTCGAAGTTGATTTTATTATATTTGTAACATTATTATAGACCCACAACTGCTTCCGTACTGTTCAAAATGTACAGCCATCTTGCAGATCAGCAGTGCTTCCAGAACTTTTGCATTTTGTAATTACTTAAATTTCAGGTCATCAGTGCATGGTTGATATTGAGCAGTCTGATATTACTATCTCTTTTTACATTTATGTACTTGCAGTAAGTGTTTCATTTAATATTAAGTGCTTTGAAATATTAATTAGCGTAATTCTTGATGAAATTCAGTAAAATGGTTGATCGATGATTGAATCGATAGTTGGTTTCAAGAATTGGGCACAATAAAGGATACAATCATCATTATAAATCAAAAATACCAATTCATTATCGAAAAAAAATTTTTTTCTAGAGAGGTTTTCAAGAGTTACAACATACCGGTTGATTACATATTGATTTGTATTTTTGTTTGGAATTATGGCGTAATGGGAATGATTTGCATACACTGGAAAGGCCCTTTAAGAATGCAACAGGTAAGTCTATCAGTTTCTATAGTGACTAAAAATTTTTCTCTGGAAAAGATTTAGTAATTTACGAAATCTAATCTGCTGGTGGATTTAAATCCTTTGGAATCATGATTTGTTTCGGTCGATTAGTAATAGTTATTTTTAATATCCAATTGCATTGCAAAGTGGACATTTATTGCAAGAAATGATCGGAAATCCTTGTAAAAGACTTGTTAAGATATTCTTTGGTTTTCATGCTAACACAGTAGTTACGGCCTTTTGTCTAACTCAGGAATTAAAAAGCGGTCGTGATCTTTATCATTACTGCTAACCTACCTTATGGACATCCGTTTTACACCATTCTTTTGTCTTCCAGATCTATCAAGGAATTAAATTTAATCACTAAAGCGGGCAAATGGCTCTTTTTTTTCTTCAATGGCAGAATTGATGTTTTCACTTTTTAGGGCTACCTAATAATGATGTCAGCACTGATGGCGCTCATTTTCATCAAATATTTACCGGAATGGACAGTGTGGACTGTTCTTGCCGTTATTTCTGTTTGGGATCTTATCGCTGTACTTTGTCCAAAAGGACCATTACGCATACTTGTTGAAACTGCTCAGGAGCGAAATGAGCCGATATTCCCAGCTCTTATTTATTCATGTGTGTAAAATTATTTCAGTCGTAAACTTTGAAGAATGCGAGAAAATTAATAGCCATAACATTATCTTAGAAAGATATGTTGTTGATGAACATTTTCTTGGAACTGTGCAACTGCTTCGTATAATAGGCATATTAGTCTCCTAAGATCAAAAAAATGACATTTCTTCAATTTATCAAATTTTAATTGTTGTGGATCAATCCTACATAATGTGTGTAGTTTATCTCCAATGGTTATCTCCAATAGTTTATCTCCCAGTTTATCTCCAATTAGTTTCTGTTACATGATATTTAGATGGAGGGATAATAACTAGATGAGTAAATTAGAAGAGTAAATTAGAGCAGCTAGCAAGTTGCTTACATTGTTTAGTATCAAACTTCAAATCGTTATTCTTCGGAACCGTTTTGGTATTGAAAGTAAGTTATGATCTAGACTTTTAAATTGTTTTTATTTTAAGCTGGTTTGCTCTACGCATATACATTGATTGGCGCAGCTGTGATGGAACAAGATACTTCGCGAGTTCCAGGAGACGCTCAATCGGATTCCGGTAATCCTGGTGTGTTTTCTGTTTTATGTTCGTGTTCTTCCAGAATAACACATTATCCGATATATTGACTTGCATGAAGTGCCGGAATCTTTTTTTCCTTTTTAATTAGAATTTCGATCATTGAAATGAATTTAATACATCATTTGTATTGCTAGGAAGCTCAACCAGTTCAGCGGAAAGTTCACTGCCATCAACAGCTGAGTTACTTCCGACGAATGGTGCTAATGAAAAGGGAGGGTTTTCACAGGGAAAGATCATACGGCGATTTGCTCCGACGCGTGCTGCTAGTGGTACAGGTGTGAGATATTACCTTTTTCCATTTTTATTACGAATTCTCGTATTGCTCCTTCTTTTTTGGAGATTCTTGTTAGAATGTTTTGCTGAAAAATCTGTTTGTTATTGAATTAGAAAATTCATGAAAGATTCAAGTTGAATTTTACACTTCATGGGTGCAATTAACGCTTTTGGTGACTATTTAGTGGTAAAAGATGTATCAAATGCTAAAGCTACATTTATATTTCATTATTCTATAATATAAGGTATAATATAAGTTCTCGACGAGTGGAAGTGTTTTCTGGACTCCGTTTGATAGAGTAGAATATTAAATCCAAATTAATACAGTATTGGTGGAATGAATAAATGAAATATTCTAATATTCATGTCTATCAAAGTTGGTAAGGTTCTTTCAATTTTAGATCAGGGTGTTGCAAATGCTGGTTTGAACACGGAAGAACAAGTAAACAATAAGTACGTTATTACTATTCTTCAAATTAGAAATTTAGATTCGTTTCTTTCGAAAAAGTCTTTGAGGGAAGAATGGAAGTGTATGAATTGGTTTGACTGAAATAGAGGAGTTGCTTTCAGCTTGAGAAATGTCGAAAAAGATCGGGCTGCTATGTCATTCAACAAAACTGGAGAAAGTAGTAGAACAAGGCTAATCGTTGATAATGCTGAAGCGGATCCAGGTAGCCCGCAGAATCCAAGATTCCTCAATGAAAGTAAGAAATTCCTATAATTTAATTTATGGAAGTCGCTTGTTAATAAGTAGCAAACTTTATACTTAAATGTTCGTTCAAAATTCTGTGTAATAGTGAATTGTTGATCAGAATCACTTTTCTTTATTGTTTGACTACTTTTCTTTATGAGCCTTAGGTAACTCCTGCTAGGGCAAGAGTCATAGAATGATACATCGAAATGGAGCATTTAACAGCAATTTAAGATTTAACTGATCAGTCATCAAATTTAACTAATCAGTTGTTTCGAGTTTTTCATCTCGATATTTTAGTTTACGAGAATTTTTTAGAAGGCATCAAGCTTGGCCTAGGTGATTTTATCTTCTACAGCGTATTGGTTGGAAAAGCAAGTAGTTACGGTGATTGGAATACAACGATAGCTTGCTATGTTGCAATTCTCATCGTGAGTTATTTGCATTTTCTAATTTTTTTTGTGAGAGTTTTGCCTTCAAGTGTGAGGCACACATATGAAGAGAAATTACTTCAAAAAAGCTCCGTTAACTTGTACAAGCTCCATGAAGATATTGTCGGTACGCGTTAATGAAAAATACCGGAAAATCGGAAATGACTTTGTTGTGCAATTGCATAACATAACTTGTACAAGCTCCATACCTTAAAACTAAATTCTTCAAATATTATTGTAATATTATCGCTGTAAGGATACATTTCTTTTATGCTTAAAAACTTTTGTTCAGTTTTGTAAAATTCCATCCGAAATTTAAGAATCAACTTATAAATAGTTTCAAATTCCACAATACAAATGCAATAATTATGAATTTTCAGGGTTTATGCTTCACTCTAATACTGTTGGCTGTATTCCGTAAAGCACTACCAGCTCTTCCAATTTCAATCTTTTGCGGATTAATCTTTTACTTTTGTACACGTGGCATTATTACACCATTTTGTACCACTTTGACTTTACATCATTTAATATATTAATTTTGAAAATAGATTGCTGTAATGAAGATTGCTCCTCATTAAGTCTTTTCCCATTTATGAAACAATCTCTTTTCTTTGATGACAAATCCCGTTCCATGATTTGATTCTGCTATGCTTTAAGGCACTTTTTTATTTATGCAATGAAATAATAAGTTCCTATCTATTACTTTCATATTTGCATTTCCATACCAGTTTTGGCTAATTGTTTTCGGAGAAAATGAGTTACCTTATGGATCTGTTCCGTAAGTAGATATAGCTGTTTACAACTGTATGTCTTCTACTTTTCGTGGAGAACGCCGAGATCCCATTCTCATTTTTTAATTTGATTAATGTATTCAAAAGCTTTTTATTTCTGTTATATTAGCGATGCAACATAGTACATCACACTCTGACGTAACTTCGAAGGCATTTCTGTTCTTGAGGAAAACTTGCGGAACACTTCCTTGGATTTTTTCGTAAAATTGTAATTTTATTGAATAACGACGATATTCTTTTCTTCTTTGCGAGTTAATAAAAATGATAACAATCCAGGAAGGAGGAAAACGTGATGGATAATAAAATAACAATAAGTGCAAAAGAATGTGGAGAAATTAATACACCACATGAGCAATTAATTGCGACTTAGATCCCATGAAATTGTAAGTATCATCAAACTTACAAATATCATCAAATAGCAGCACTAAGCTTACTGAGATCATTAACTCTGACATTTGACCAACAACTGATTCGACCATGATATTATTTGTCTTTCAGTAAGCTTCCTGAAATGATTCACATCCAACGTGAATTATAATTATTGATATTACGAATAATCTAGGTTCTCGAAAGGTCCTTAAGATGTCTTGGAAAGACGAATGTTTTCGATGCTGTATTTCTCTGAATTTGTATTTGTATATGATTTCATTAACTTTGAACGTAGCATTTTTTAGAAACGTTTTGATTTTTGAGCCCAACAAATTTGCTTACATTTACTTAAACAGTTTTGTGATTTTATGCACATTTTAAACATATTCAAAATATGAAATATACAATTTCTCTCAGAATAGCAAACGAACCCCTACATAAAGCACTAGATTAAACAAATCTCTTAAAGAGTTTGTTTCTTTCCAGTTACAGTATTATCACCAATCAAGTATACATAAAAAGGATAGATTAAAGCACCAAAAAGAGCAGCAACCACGGTAGCATTTATGGCAATAAGTTTCGGATCGTAACCTTTAGGAATTTCACACAAATAAGCTTTCAATTCGGCCAGGTATTTGGTTGTGTCAGTTCCAAGAATAGGTTTAACAGCGAAACCTAAGTATGTCTGTATTACGTCCTGCGGCAATCGGCTACCGACCAATTTTTGATTCTTCAGACTTCCAGTAATTACCCCATGTTCGACCCGTATTCGATCATTGTAAAGTGGTAGAGTGAACTGTGGTGTTCTTCCATAAATCCATTCCCAGTTTCGTAACTCTTTTTCGTATTCCAGTACACCCGGAAATTGCTGGTCATTCATTACGTTCGAAAGCGTAATTACTTCGGTATGCTGAAAGGACAAGTCTCAAACAGGGTCCGTTTCGTAATGAAACTCAGATTGGAAAATTGATAAGTGTCTTCTGCAAAGATACTATCCATGTATGAAATCTTAAAAATTTATATAGGCCTCACCAAATACTGTCTTTTGAATGAATCCATAACAACATTCTGCGCTTTTTCAACTGTAATATCAGGAATTTCATGGGCTAAACAGCCAATCGCTGGTGCTTGTACACTCCGAGTAGCATTTGTTAACATTGTTTCCTTAAACACTGTCATTTAAGACGTTTCAAGTTCAGAAATATATTAACTTATGATGTAATCGTTTCATTAAATTGACTTTGACTTCTCTACAGAAATACCGGGTTATTGACAAACAATGATCTGGTGATGTACATAACTACACACCAGATATGTCGTGTAGTCTTTTTTTTTCTAAATCCTGAAATATGAAAATTGAAACATAGGAGATGGGCTGTATTTGAAATAAAAACTTCAGTTAGCACTTCAATAACTTTTTAACTCAAGGTAACTTACACGAAAAGGAGACGATAAAGAACGTTTTAAGACAGCAACATCAACATTTACAAGTAATGTTAAATGATGATATGCTAATTGACGAACAATTCGTGCTGCTGTTCCAGAGATTTTCCGTCGGCCAGGTTGTAGCCATAAATCATCGCGATCATTCGGCTCTACCTGAACCAAATATGTCTGTATTTCAAATTCAAAGCATGATATAAAAGAAAAGAAACGGTCAGCAAAAAAAAACTTGTAGCGGTTATTAGCTTGAACTTCTCACGCTGATAGCCTCATTCATCTTTTAATTAATTTTTTCTCAGTTCTTATTCCGAACTCCGTCTGAATTCATAATCTCTCCCATCTCGAAGAAGAAAAATACTTTGATATTGAATTCTTGATTGAGTGCTTCAGCTATCATGAGCAAATTTCTCCTCCTCTTATGCCTTTGATGTGATGTCAACACGGATATGTTAAGATTACCTGAAAGCAATGCAACATGCAACATGGTCTGTATTAATATGAAGTAAAGATGAATATCCAAATTAATTTTGAAATACTAACGGTTAACTTTGAACATCTAACCTAAATCGTGATAAACAGCACCACCACCACTGTGACGTCTAGCTAATTCAATATTGTTAGATTTTAAATAGTTTAAATCCGCTTCTAACCATGGATTCTGATGTCGGCCAATGACTACTGCTGGTTTGTTGCTAAAATTTTATCGTAAATTCCGAGATTACCGACGTATTCAGTAATAAATTCACACCAAATAATAATTAACCTCTAATTTAAAATAGTAGGGAAGACGAACAATAATGAAACACAGCTGGTAATTGTTTCCGAATAATTAAAATCAACCGAAGAAAATACTGTCTTATGCTCAGTGGCTCCTTAGCTAGCTGTAAAATCCAAACTACCAAAATTATCGGTTCTGACCAGACAAAGTCTTCTTGAATTTTTCACAACTCATCATCACCCGTCTTTTGAAATTTCATCAGTGACCATTTGTCACGGCAGCAAAATATACCTCCAGATAAACATCGATTCATTTTCCTCATCAGGTCTATAATTCCGGAGCAACCATTCTTCAAACGCTAAATTCTCGAAGATATTTTGCGACTGTGAAATAAATATTTTTGCGTTTTGTTGAAGGATACCAATTCTTCCACTCATATTGTTTCTAAAATTTGTTATGAATAGGAATAAATAGAAAGCTAATTATTCACTGTTACTTCATTGACTTTAATATCTATCAGAGAAATCTGTCATCACGGTAATTCCCTATTCCCTTAATGTTCACCTAAATGTGATAGATGTTATATGCTTAAATTCTAACCAAAACAAAATTTACACTTCGTCATCGGGCTATGTAGTGCAGTGTAAACATATTGGAACACGTTATATATACCCATACATGAGTTGGGTAACAAAACTGTAGCACTTGTAAAAGGTAAGGTTGTTCCATTCAGTTCATCTATATAATTATGTTGCAAGACATCAATTAAATCATTCTAGTCAAATCACACAAAAACTAACATTTACAATTGTTTAAATAATAATGCACCTCAGTAAATATACCGTAGAAATTGTACAATATGCTTTTAGTAGTCTTTAACAGATATTTAAATTTTATTTTTCAGAATGAAGTTCTTGCAATTTTTGCAAATAAGCTTTCATATACAATAACTTTTGAATTCAGTACAACTGTCTTGCATGAAAACTTTTCATTACTAAGAAATATTTAAAGCGTAAAATTTAGGAGGACTGAACAACCTGATTAAGATTTAATTTCATTAAAAAATGCACTTCCCAGATCGACACTTCCAGAATTCAACAAAAGTCGATCTACTTTCATCACAAATAATGCAACAGATTTGGATAAAGCAATTTTCAGAAAATACGCGTTGTCAATTTATGGAAGTAAATATTGTCAGGTTTACAAACAAATAACAATATTAGAAGGGATAGCAATAATTTAATGAGATCACTGATTATCAATTTCTCCAAGATATATTTTCTTATCACTTCCCGCTGATAACACTGAAATTAGGAGAATCCAAATAACACAGAATAGATCGATAGTTTACAATAAATAATTAGTTTATAATAATCTGCAGCATTTAAGAAATTTCAACATCTTTAGATTAGCATTATATTCTACAGCAATAAAAGCAAACAAACAGTTTTCAAATTTATAACTCATCTCCTCTCTGTCTTTCCATAAACCATTATGTACATTATAAATTTAAGATTATTAAACTACTAAAGAAATTCAAAATTATTAAACTGAAATTAGCAAATCAAAAATTACAGAATAAAATTTAGAAAACACACATACATTATAGAAAAATACTTACATATTGGCTCCTTTGGATGAAAATCAGTTGCATTAACCGATCCCTGATGACCAGGTAATTTGTAAAGTACTCGCCGCGATGAAACATCCCAAACATAAACATAACGATCGCTGGAACCACAGCTAATACGATGATTATCAGGCGACCAGGCGCACTTCAACAGATTCTGCAACGCAAACTGTGGATTTTCTAGAAGACACTACCCCGTTTAGAATTATAAAACGACGTAGGGAAGAAAGAAGAAATTAAGGAATTAAAATGAGTATAACGTATATTATTCGCTGATATTCTTTTAATTTAATAAATGGAGTTTACAACAAAATTAACCAACACTATTTTAAAAAAAACAGAAAATCACGACAGCAGTAAAAAATGGACCTTTTCAAAGTTATGCTGATGTCCAGCAAATGATTTCACGCATCGCTGTTCCGGTGCAAACGGTCTGATATCCCAGATTTTTGCTGAAGTAATCGTAATTTATTTTGAGTTTGTCGATCTTTCCCTCAGCACATATAGTAATGTTTTGATGATGCCTTATCAGACAAAATAAAAATCTGCTCACAAATTAACTATTTGGAATACGTAAAATTTTCAGAGCTCATAAAGCCGAATATGTCTGTCTCACTATAGAATTCCAGAATTCTGTCCTTGTCATTCAAGGTATAGAATTCTTTATCCGTTAATGTTTGAAATTTTATCACTCTTTCCCTTTCCCTCTCCATTAAATAAACAGTTCTCAAACAACATTTTTATTATATGGCAAAATTGAAATGAAATGAACTGCTTCATCCTCTATGTTAAAGAAAATTAAAGGCGAAACAAAACACTGGTAAAAAAAAGGAAATGGCAAAACAAATTACAACTGCAGTCCATTGCATTCGAGAGGACATGTGTCCCTTCCGGACTTAATGATAAACCAGTGATCGTGTCAGTGTGACCGCGCATTACGTAGGCCAGTTCATTTCGTCGTAAATCCCATACCTAAAATTTAAGAAAAAGTTAAATAATTTATCGAAAACACATTAGTTAAGAATTAACGAAACACATCTAATGGTTACTTACTGCAATCTACTTGGAAACTCTAAATTTTTTGCAAAATTACCTTAATATCATTATCGATTCCTCCTCCGATGACCTGTTCAGCTGTGTCATTAAAAGTTACAGCTGTAATCTGGTATGCATTTTGCAAAGTAGTTACGGGATCTCGTCTGCGTATATCGTGAATCTATAGAAACATATGCACTTAATAGCCTATGAAATGTTTAATAAACGATGAGAAAGAAGTGAAATATTTTCATTTTTCGTCTTCTAAAAGAGTAACATAAAACTTTGGAAATACTGACCATATGTTCTCTGAAGAAATACTTATCAAGGTATTTCTTCTCATTGTTATTTAATTCTGATGTTTACAGTAAAACTTACAAGTACAGTACAATCATCAGAACCACTGGCAACAAGCTGTGGTCCACGCCGTGCAGGATGGCAACTGTTTACAATATCTTTATGGGATTTGAGCTTCCTAACACATGTCCCTGTATCCATATCCCAAACACGTACCGTCTTATCTGTTGATGCCGTAAACAGATAACTGAAAGAGGATGAATTTAAAATTTGAATGACAAAAGCTTCCTTTAGTCTTTCTGGTCGGTAATTTTAACAAACAGATAAAAGATGCACCTTAGATAAATCATCCAAACTTTCCTCAAAAACCTTTTTCTTTCCACAAGAAGATATTTCTTACCTGGCGTCAGTACTGAAATGAAGGTCCATTATTGCTCCTGCGTGTCCTTTTAAGGTTGAGAAATTTTCGCATTCACCATACACATTCCACAAAACTAAAATCAACATTTTAATACGAAAAATTGATCAAAAAGCATGAAGAATGTCTTGAATTTCAAAGAATAATTTTTATCTTTTAAAGTAAAAACACATTCTTCGAAGTTTTGATTGAATCAAGTAATGTTAATTCCCAACGATTCGATCCAAATATGGCCATTTATAGTTAGAAATAACACTAATATTAACGCAAACGAGAGAAATGGTATTCAAATAAGCATAAAAATTTAAAAGTTAAACAAATAGAGAAAACTTACAAACGATCATATCAAAACCAGCTGATGCCAAACAACTTCCATCCGGGCTGAACTTAGCCGTATAAATTTCACCATCATGACCACTAAGTAACATTATAGGTGCCATCAAATGTGACGTACGTGCGATGGATTGTGTTCGTCCACTCGAAATAACTTCCAAACGTGGCTTTTTTGGTCCTTAAGTTTATGAAAAATGGATTATTCAAATCACTCCTAGAAATGTATTTCATTCTTCCTGCAGTTAGTTTTATAGTTACAGATATTTTTTGCAATTTTAAATAGAACCATAGTGATTCAGATGTACAGTGACAGCACATCAGTGTAATCAGTTGAATCAGTTCAAAATCATTACATGAAAAATAAATCCAAAGAAAAAACTTACCAACAACAGCCAAAGGCATCGACGGCCTTTTGAATCCATCGTTATTTTGCATAACATCTGTCATCTGCAAAACTCAATTGTCAGTTACTATGAATATTTAGCATTTGATTATTCGATTATTTCTTACAACGCACTTAAAAATCTCCGAACCTACAACCGAAAATCGCTTTTCAATCAATTTTTTCATTTCGTTCTACTGAAGTTACTCGAAATCAGAGACCATTCACACAAGCAAAAATAAATCCAAATTTTTATTAGAAAATAGCATTGTTTGAGCAGCTTCTGAGCAAAAATCTTCTTTGCAAGTATTAGTTCCTGAGAATCACTTTATTATGGCAAACATACTGCCATTGGTTTAATATCGAATTAAAACAGCACATCATTTACAAACATTCCAATCGAAATATTAAGTTGACTGATGAATATTAAACATATTTTCAAAATACACCATTAAGCGAGTTATTCACTAAGAAACTTCATATGCAAAATAATGTTGATTTTCTGAAATCGAAAACTTTTATTATTCCTAACACTGAAATAAGGGAAGAAAGTACAAATCAACATACTTGAAATAATTAACCAAATATCATTACTTATTTAAGATAGAGGAGATAAGAAAAATCAGCACATGCAAGCAAGAATGTTTTAAATTAAATCTAATACTGATATCAAAAAATAAAAAGACATCATATTGTCTATCTATTTGAAAAAATCGAAATTTCATTTTAGTAGATCGCATACATTCTACAACATTTTCTTCTTAACTTTCCAAAATTTTACTTGCAACATCAAAGAGAATTTTGAATCCAAAATAAATAAAATTCAAAACCCATCAACGGCAAATGGAAGTCATACGAATTCTATATACACAATTTTAGAATATTAAATGTTTCAGCATGTTAACATCACCACCTAACAATATCAGCAAAAACTCAACATCACTGCAATTCCAACTGAGGTCGTACCAACTTCGCCTCCACTTCATTGGTAGAGGCAAATCCTAAAAATGTGGAAATTTTTGAAAGTTTAGTTGTCAAAGTCAAGTGAAACTTTCTTCAAACTATATTGAACAAGTATTATTCCCCTTCTCCCCCTTTCCTTTTCCTCCATGGTTCTTAGCGCATTACTCTTTACATTATTGGTATCTACCATCGCTATCTTAGGTGCTTATGCCCTAAGCAGTTTATTAATTCACAATCTTCCCCACTTCAATAATTACACCAAACATGCTTTCCTCAAGCACTTCTTGGATATCATTCAGCAGTCCTACTCTTTCGCTCAACAATACCCATATGCAGATATAACTTTAATTCTTATGAAAATAGCAACTAAGCAATTCCTTACCTGTACCACCTCTCTGTAATTCGATTATATCGTCATTCTTCATTGGCTTTCCATTCAATGGATCTATCATATCTTTCCTAATTATTTTTTCAACGCAATCCATCGTAACAACACTCTGGCTACAATAAAACATTTTTACATGTACAGTTAGGCAATGCATTAGACAACTACAACATTTCGAACAAAATTTTTTTGTTCAAAGTCTTCACGCAAAACTTTTTTAACTGCTCTCTATCAAATGCCTCCCTCGACCAAAACGACATTCCATATTTAAAAAAACATCAGGATAACAACGGAAAAAAAACTCAGAATTTCAAAAAATAAACCAGTATTGCAATGAGACTTCAAATAAGAATACGACCAATCATGCATATGTTACTTTAAACAGTTACCGAGCTACCGGTATTTTGTTAATCACCTTGTTTTCAAGTATGCGCATCGGGTTGTATTTGTGAGTGCATCATGCGTAATAGGACACATATACCGCACTTTTCGAGCCATTAAACTTTTAGTACCATTATCATCAGGCACTACGGTAAATTTTACCGGCATCAATTCCTTGATTTTCAGGGGTTTGCCAGATAGCGGACAAAAAACACGTTGTTCCTGAAAAACCAAATCACTGCAATTGATATCTCCTTCCAAAATTATTTCCACCTGTCGAAGATGATTCATTTGTATTAGCAACAAGTAAAATTCAAATTGCTTACCGGTTTTTCAATTTTGACTTCGACAGTTGGATTTAATTGTGGAATCCAAAAACTCGGATATTCTTTTGCCTTCTCGCCTGCCACATTTGAAATTTCATCCTCTTTCAATCGTTTACTACTCAATCGATCACTTTCAAGTATTTTACGTTTATTGATCTGAAAATTTTCGAGAAGTTCAAGATTATCATTTGTAAGAAAGAAAAAACTGCAATCGAATCATCCAAGCGACATACCCTAGATCCAGAAGGCGTAGCACCAGCAGAAGTGGTGGGCCACTTGGTGTCCACATCTCGTTTTATTCCTGGATGTGCTGGTGTACCTTCTGCTTCTTTGAATTTTTTCAATTTTAGCTCTTCATCCAGATGCTTTTCCTATAAATCGTAACGCTGGTTATTTCTAACCAAACGACGCTCAAAACAACTTTATAGTGAAGAGAAAACATACTCTTTCTACTTCCTCTTTTTCCTTTTTACGCTGCTTCTTATCATGAAGAGAAAACGTACTTTTTCTGCTTCTTCTTCTTCCTTTTTACACTGTTTCTCCCACTCCTTTAATTTTCGTGTATTTTCCTTCTTCTGTTCTAGGTAATATTCCAAGACAGCTTCCCTGTCGAATACGTATCCATATGGTGATATTACCGGATCACTATAATTGACGAAATGATTAATTCATCAATATTTATTACGAGAAATATACTTATGCGAAATAATGAACATATTTACACCCAACACATCCATATATATTTATATGATTCCTAGAGTTCACGGGAATTCCAAATAAAAAACTTGTTCGCATGTTGAACACATCATCTTCTGCGTCCAACTGCTGAGACCAGCTTGCTATTTGAAATTAGTTTGATTAACATTATTGATTTCTGTAATGGTTCCTATCTATTTTAGATAAAAATACCTTGAAATGAAATGCCTCTCTGTTCCAAAGAAGCTTCACTGAAACCTAGAAGATTCCACAAAATTCAATGATTCAAGAAATCAACAAATTTTTTGCCTGAGATTTAGAGAAAAATATTACCGACAAGGTTGCAAAGTGATAGAACAACAATCGAATTCCTTAACTGAATCAGCACCTAATCTTTGATGCAAAGTACCATAACCAGATTCTTTAGCATCTTTTCGTCTTTCTGAATATGAATATACCGCTGATGCTGTAGCATTTTTACCATGACGAGTCATTCTGCAACTATACATATGTTATCCATTATCATAATACCACCGAACTACGTCGCATAAGCTTAGCAATTTCACAAATTTGAAAATATCTAATTTCATGCCTTCTATTTTAGTCCTGAACTAATTACACTGCAACCTCCTATTACGAACCTAGCGTGTATTTCGTCCCCCTCCCCAGTATCCATTCACAGATCGGCGGTACGTATAGTAGTTAGGTGACGATGATACCTGTGGTTTGTGATGACATAAGTGCGATTTTTATGAATAAGTGGCTATTCAAAACCATCGTTGACAAATGCTTGCTTTTAATTCTGGCAATTCTGTTTCCCAAATGTGATATTGTCTGTCCTTTCCCAAATGTGATATTGTCCGTCCTTTATCTTATCCATTTTCCATAGGATCATTTTTCACCGCCAACAAATAATTATGTATCACTTCTTTTGTATATTTCTATTCAGACTTGTGGTATTATTTCGGTCGTCTAAATTTTTAATCCACTATTTTCACTTTTTCTAATTCTTATTAATATCATGAATTCCTTATTTCTGGGCGTATTTTTCAGATTTATTTTAATTCTCTCGTTTAATTAATGTCATTTATTTATCAGATACTGTAGATGATATCTATTTCTTGATAGTAGTATTGTAGTGATGTCAAAGATCAATTGCAATTAAAAATATTCTCGGAGTTGGTTTATGATCAGTTCTGATCATTCTTTTTTTCAATGCGAACAGTATTTTAGGCTATATACATCTTGATTAGGATTGCTATCTTTTAAAATAAGTAAAAATCAGTAGAATCTCAGGAGTTGCATAAAAACAAGTGGTTAAATCATACCAGTACATACGCCGGATGTTTGCGTTTTTCATAATTTATGCTTTAATTTTAATATAATGGAAAATTTTTCACAGATTTAATGACGTCAATAATCAAATTGGAGGCCTTATCAGGTGTGCAGGATGATGGGCCATTATGCTATCTTTTACAGGTAATTGAATAAAATAAGGAAAACTGAAATACCACCACCTCATCGTTTGATGCTATCATGCAGTATGAGCCCTAATTAATTCGTTGCAGTAAATGATACTGTTGGGTGTTCAAGTCGTAGTGCATTATGATCCCCGTTTAGGATTTTTAGACTTCTCTAATATTCGGGAGCACTGCCTTTTTTTTTAATATCCTTAATGGCGAATATAACAATTGAAAAAGTCCTGTAGATAAATTAAGTCAAGTTACTTTATCATTTATCATCAATAAATGACTCTGTGGCGTAAATGTAGATATACTGATAGCGCTGCAACGACGCGAATTGTTATAGTCAGTTGTACTACCCATATGAAATTTAAAACTGCAGGCCTTTTAATGTGATTTTTTTAAATATGATTTTTGCCAAAAATTATCATTGTTCAAGTTAACCGACAAATAATAATATTATTTCATTTTTTTCTTATCCTATTCGTGTTTTAGTTGTCGTATTTCAGGTTGATCAAGTTTATTTTTTATTGGATTGTGGTTGGGATGAACGATTTGATATGGCATACATAGAAGCTGTAAAAAGGCGTGTTCCTCTTATTAACGCTGTTTTATTATCATATGCTGATATACCACACCTCGGTGCTTTACCTTATCTTGTCCGAAAATGTGGCCTGAATTGTCCTATTTATGCCACGGTAAGTGTATTTACACTTCTCATTTATCGCTTTTTCATAATATGCGTCTTCCGAATATTTCGCAATTACATGAGATAAGAGTATAATTAATATGCTTTGCTGATTGTAAATAAAATTCACTAATGGACAATAATAGCTTTTAAAATCATGAATCTAATTTTTAACATTCCATTTTGCGTGGTTAGTCTCATTAGTATTAAGTTAATCTATTAGTAGTTTTATTATTTATTTGAGCATTAACGTTTTTAATTGTATTTGCTGTGGAAAGTTTACTACCTATATTAGTCCCATGAGTGTATGTCGCAGATTTTGTAAATTATTTAATTTGAGAATTGCATTTAATTTTATTGCTAATTAAAGTTGCAGCATCATGAATGTGTAGCAACACTGATTAATATTTAACAACGTAGTAGGGTAAGAAAAATATTTTGTTACAGATTATTATAATACTTACTTGTTCTAAACCGTAGTCAAAAAAATATAAGAATGAAAGGTATATATGAGACTGACAGTAGCTGACCAGTAATTACTGAATTACTGATCAGCTTCTGTCAGTCTCGAGAAATTTTTCAAGTTGGAAGTTGAAAGAAACTGTGACTTAAAAGATCTTTGTAATTTTGCATAATTAATGCTATAGTTTCTTTCTAAAACTGTTTCATTTCGTGTAATATTTCTGGCAGAAAGTAATTTGTTATATCAGCTCGAATTTCAAGCAAAATGGCTGTCTTTATGATAATAAGATTTTCTAAATTTTTTGACCAAAATTTTGCGGCTTCATCAGGTTCCTGTGTATAAGATGGGACAAATGTTTCTTTATGATTGGGTTAACAGTCACACTAGCGTCGAAGATTTCAACTTGTTCAATTTGGACGATATTGATGCAGCGTTTGAGCGAGTGCAACAAGTGAAATATAGTCAGACGGTTTGTTTGTTTATTAAACTTCATCAGCATCATGTATAGTTTAAGCATGTTACTCTCTTGTTTATATCACGAGACATAATCATGCACAGAATGCAGTCATAATTTATAAGCTTCGAATTACCTTTCTCCATATTCGCATTAGTCGTTTTCGCCGTAAAGAGCGGGAAGAAAGGTAACTGTTTCATTGTAAATTAGATAAAAGTGGAATGAATATGGAATATGATGTCAGCGAAAATATAATGTGACAATTTTCATTACAGCTTTAAGGCACTTTTTCAGATTTTATTGAAAGGCGATAATGGCCTTCAAATAACGCCACTACCAGCTGGACATATGATTGGCGGTGCAATATGGCGGATCACAAAAATGGGCGATGAAGAAATTGTCTATGCAGTTGATTTCAATCACAGAAAAGAACGCCATTTGAATGGTTGTACATTTGAAGGTATTTGTTAGAAATATTTTGCCAAATCTTGATTCATATAAAAACAGTCGACCAATTATAGGTATTGGGCGACCAAATCTGCTGATCACTGATAGTTTCAACGCATTGTATAATCAGCCACGTCGGAAGCAACGGGATGAACAGTTGGTAACCAGGCTTCTGGGTACCGTAAGAGATGGTGGTGATGTAATGATTGTAATCGACACGGCAGGAAGAGTATTGGAAATAGCACACTTGCTTGATCAGTTATGGCATAAGTAAGTTTTGTTGCTACAAGGGAATTTATTTCATGGTTATTTACTTCCTAGTCAGATATTCTGAAATTTCTGGGGATTCAGACTCTAACTTAATTTTGCCCATTTATAGTTCCTTTTCCTTCTATAGTTTTCTCCTATTGATAAAATGATTTAGCATAAATGGATAGATGAGAAATTTTTGCTTTCAAAACCACATATTTGTTGTAGCTCTTCAATCTTTATTGTCGTTAATCCGTTTGTTTTTGTTTGTAGAGATTTTTGATGAATTTTTTCTGACACTGTAATATTATTTCGATTTTTTTTTATTAGTGAGACGATTGATGTGAGTAGTTTTTTAAAAATTAAATTATAGCGATTCTTTAATTTCAAGTGCGGAGGCTGGTTTGATGACATATAATTTGGTTATGCTAAGTCACGTCGCTTCATCGGTAGTTGAGTTTGCGAAGTCACAAGTAGAATGGATGTCTGATAAAGTGCTGAAATCCTTTGAAGTTGGCCGCTACAATCCATTCCAGTTTCGACATGTGCAGCTTTGTCACACTCATACGGATTTGATACGAGTACGAAGTCCAAAGGTTTTTGGTTTTTTCTATTATAAATTTTAAAGCAGTTAATTTCTCTCTTTAAAAAATCACTTGATGATTTATCGACTTTCATGTGTGCCTATGCATTGTTTTAAAAATTGAAGGTGCAGTGAAATGTATATCATAACATAATAAAGTTCTTCTTTGTAAAAGAACTTTCAACCAGGTTCATTTTTCCATGACTTGTTAATTCTTGTTTTTAGGTTGTACTTGTCAGTGGACTGGATATGGAAAGTGGCTTTTCCAGAGAGTTATTTCTAGAGTGGTGTACGGACGTAAAGAACTCTGTTATTGTTACTGGTAAGGCTTTCTAGTTTTGGAGAAAATGGCATAACTTTATTTGTACTTCGAAATTTTCATTTGGTAAAAAATTAAAATTACTGTCACAGTATGTTGGTAGAAAAAAAGCACATGTAATTTATAGGACGCTCTGGTGATCGTACTCTCGGTGCGCGATTAAAACGGATGGCTGAACAAGCAGCAGAAAATCCCAATGGTACCATAAATCGTAATCTAACTTTAGAAGTGAAACGAAGAATCCGTTTAGAAGGCGTTGAGTTGGAGAATTATCGAGCTAAAAAGCGAGCTGAAGAACGTGAAGCAACTCGAATTAGGTAATGATAATAAATCATTGCAGAGTTCGATGTCGCACTCCTGCCAAATTTTAACAGCTGCAACACTGCAATTGCAGTAGGCTTGAATGCGTTTAGAACTCCACAAAATAATTGGTCAGACCATTCTAATGATTAAATTCGTTTAGTAATTAGATTTCTAATGTCTCCTATAACCAATACCAACTGGCATATGGCAATATCTTTCTCATTCATTTAAAGCTTTTATTTGATGCTTGCCAATTTGTTTTCACACTAATGACAAATTGCCATCAATGTTGCGATGATGGGAGCTAGTGAAAATGAAGTATTAATATGTCATTACAAATCATATTTGTTGAAATTTATTAAAATCTAAAACTTCGCACATTTTTGATTTCCAGATTAGAAGCATCACGACGAAACGCTAGACTCGAGCAGGCCGATTCATCTGATGACAGTGATGACGATGCGGTTATGATTGTTCCTGCGACGACTTCTAGCGTATTAAATGGCAAAATAACTAATTCGAAACGTAATATTACGTCATCTTTTAGCGCTTCTACGACGACTCCCATAGTTGGTTCGAAAATTTCTTCTTTCCATAGCTCAAGTATAGATGGTTCATTTTTTGGTATGATTTGTGATCATGAATAGAAATCTTGTTCATTTGTCAGACGTATTTTTGCCCAACTTATCTGTATTTTTACACCTATAATTATCTAATTCCACACATTTTATCAGTCACCTCTCCCCTACTCGCGAAATATTAATCAAAACATATCAAAATATGCTCTAACTTAGCAGATGAAATCACAGTGTTGTTCATTTAGCGTTCAACCTCGTTACTGATATATTCTAGAAAGATTACTGAATCGTTCAGGAAAGATAATTTTTAACAGATCTGTCAGCAGCTCAAATAGCCGAACAAAGGTCACACGATATTATGTGGAAATGGGAACAGCAGCAGAAATCATCATTCTTCAAACAAAGCAAAAAATCATTTCCTATGTTTCCGTACATTGAAGAAAAAACTCGGGTCTGTTTTCCATTTTTCTTTTTTTAGGGATCCTCATCGAACTGGAATTCTATATTTCTTTGTTACCAATATAATACATTAAAACTTGTGGATTTTAAAATTTCAAAGATTTTTTTTGTCATATATGCGATGTCCAAGATATTCAACAGGAAGAATAATAAATTAGAATTTATGTGGTTTAGTTTATGTTTCGTACTATAGCAAACTGATTACTGTTAAGTGGGATGATTATGGTGAAATTATACGGCCGGAGGAATACATGATCGCGGATACACCTGTAGTACCACAAATGCCTCCTGAGCATAAGGATGGCATTGTTGACGGTTCGCTTGATGGACAAGTGGTACCTCTTTATGAAGAACGGGAATGGCCATCAAAATGTATTAGTCAAATCATGAAAATAGAGGTAAGTTTTGATAATGATATTCTTACCTTATTTGTCTTATAAATTCTGTTTTATTTATTATTTCTAATTAAGTTTCGCATTTAGTGATGCCTATTGTAGTATTTGTCGCCTACCAATTTTCTCTGCCTTTTCCTCTAACATCAATTAATACATGTTGAGAATTACATAGGTGATCGTTTGTTTAAGGTTTCCAAAAGTTCTATTTTTTTGTTTATAATTGTAGGATACTGAGACTAAAACTGCAACATTTTTTGATTCTTGATGGTACCACATAAAATTGAGTGTTTTCAAAAGAGAGGACATATTTTAGTCAAAAAAAAAGAATGATATAAAAGTTTTGGAAAAATTGGAGATCAGTAAATAACAATCCGTTCTGCTTTCCGTTTTCTTTTATACTACATTTTTTTCATTTCCACCTATTTGCTTATTTTATTTAATCTGAAAGTAACCTTAAATTTTAAGAAAAATTATTGTCACAATTATTTCGTTCTGGTCGCAGTTTCTTGAGTATGACATTCTCATCTTTTGTATGTGGATTTTGTAATGTTGATGTTTCAGGTACTTTGTAAAGTAGACTTCATCGATTTCGAAGGACGCAGCGATGGCGAATCGGCAAAAAAAATTTTGTCACAAATAAAACCGAAGCAGCTGATAATTGTTCATGGTTCCTCAGCGGCTACTCGACATCTTGCGCAATATGCTCAACAAAATGATATTGTTCAAGTAGGCAATTTAACGATATTTGGGTTTAAACCGAGAATGTATTGCCAATTTTTTCCGAAAGCTAAATGTCATTCTTTGGCTAAATTAGTTGGGAGTTTTAACCATTAAATGTTGCGTGCCATTCAAGGATGGCACACCGGTACATAGAGCTTTGATGTACGTGAACTTCGTAAAACAGGTTGTTTAGTGACTAAGTTCCCGTGTATTTTATTCTGGTTTTCAGTTATGGTAATTTGAATCATCTCCATCTCTAGCTGACGGCATTTCTTTGATATGAATAAACGAGTAATTGCTAATTAATCAATTCTTCTGCAGGGTAAAATATTCACTCCACGGTTGGGTGAAATTGTTGATGCAACAATCGAATCTCACATCTATCAAGTAACATTGAGTGATGCCGTTATGTCGTCATTAATTTTCCAAACGGTTTACGCTTTGAATTTTTGATTTCATTTTGTTGTGACTTGATTGTTTGTCTCATTTCGATTTCTGGTCAAGTAAAAATTTTCGTTTCGGAATTTTAAGATAACGATTAATTCAGTTGGTAGCGTGGTTTTCCACTTAATAAGGATAATGAGTTTTTAGGTCCCAGCACGATGATTTGCTAATTTAGTAGGGACCATGTAATGTTTCGTGATATAGGTAAAAGATGCCGAGTTGAGTTGGCTGGATGCTCGAATAGTAAGAAGGAAAACGGTAACGCCGGGACAAACACAAAGTGCAAATGAAGAAAATTCAGAAACAAATGGAAATAAGGAGGAAGAAGTAGAAGAAATGGGACTAGATGATGATGTGGAAGGTAAACGTTTGAGCAATTTGAAGGTTGCAGTTGCGGATACATTTTGTCTGGAACCAATGCTTTCATCTAATATCCCTCCACATCAGGTTTGTTTCATTTTTTTTTATGTATACTTTTAATATATTTAAATATACTTTCAATCAGATATATGAGAAATAGAGCCTGTTTCTGATCTAAGGGTAGCAACTGATTTATGGGCAATAATTTTTTCCGAAAAATATTAATTTGAATGTTCAAAATCTTTAGCCCTATGATTAACTAAGCCATATAGATCCAGCCAGCATTTCGGGGGCAATTTATATATATAAATGCTTTTTTTCATTTTAGGCAGTATTTGTCAATGATCCAAAACTTTCTGATGTAAAGCAGTTATTAACTTCGAATGGTTTCCGAGCCGAATTCAGTTCTGGTGTACTATATATAAATAATATTGCAAGCATTCGACGTAATGAAGCCGGCCGCTTTCATGTAGAAGGCTGCGCATGTGAAGATTATTACAAAATAAGGGATATCGTTTATGCACAATTTGCAGTTGTATAGTCCGAAATTACTCGTAGTTATTGATCTCATGTTGCTTTTTTTAAGATTTGAAATGAACAGAAAGTCTTGAAATTGAGGTGAAGAGAAAGCTTTCATTCAAATTATTAATAAAATAAATAATCAAGCCGATAATTTATGAACATGAGGAGCTATTTATAAAAGAGCTATGAGAATATTTTAAAGATTTATAATGGATTGAGATATACGTAATATTTTCCGATGGTGAAGGATAGGCATTCAACAGAGAATTTGGATAGTTGGAAACATTGAAAATAGCTCTTATGCTGTTCAAGTGTGTGACAAAATAATTCATCTTAGATTATAAGAGCCTGTTATTAAGTTTAAAAAAATCAGTGCTGATGTATTGAAATAATAAACAAAAAAGTTACAAACATCCAAATTAAATTAGCGAAAATATGATTTAATTAAATTTCTATTCCAGTCGGCAAATAAGCATACAATAAAACATCCATGCAAATATCTTTGTATTGTCATTCTTTGGATGCAAGAAGGATTCTAAGAATAAGTAAAATCTGCCTATGTTCGAATGGCAATAAGTTTATAACATCCTCAAAAAGTTTTGGTATGAAATTAACTTTCTTTTGGAGATATTTTTGTCTTCAATAGGGAATATAGAAAAAGTGAGCAAAGCTTTTCGATTTTCTTTCATGTCGATTAGACAGTATGCAAATATTCAATTATGGTATGCTAATTTTTTAATTTAATATATGCATATATATATTACTTGGTAAATTATAAGCCTCCAGCACATGGTTGATTAAATTTCCTGATTTGTTAATATGGTTGTTCTGTTTGGTTGTTATAAATTTCTAATTGTTAGTTTTTTTTTCTTCCTTCTGTTTTTATTTATTTCTGCAAGTTTCATTTGAAGCTTAAAATTTGACTGCCGATAATATCATTTAATGTTTAGGAAGTGTAAGAATTGTTGAATATAACATTGATTTAATTGATTGAAATTTAACTTCATTCTTATAACTGTATGAGAACATCCAATAATTTATTTCGCAAATATTTCTTTGTTTAAAATAAAAGTAAGATGGAAAGATTAAAGGTTATTCTTGTTGTTGGTGATATGATAGGATCGACAATTAGTCTGTTATGTTATTCAAGTTTTTTTCGACAACAATACGAAGAATGTGACAGACAGGATTATTGCTTTTTCCTAGAGGATTATCCAATGCTTAATCCAACCGATACACAAAATCATACTCGAAGTTGTGATCGGCGAGGTTACTGCAAAGTAAATTATAAATTAAAGAATATATAATCTAAAATTATTAAATGGAAAAATGTGGAAAGAAGAATATATTGCTGCAAGGAATGTATACATATGTGGGAGAAAATGCTGATATCGCACTTTTCTTTTTCGTTTATTCCATTTGTTAGCAATTATTTATTTCCAATTTAAACTATTTATTTCCAATGTTTATTCCTAATTAAAGTATTTCCAATATTTATTTCCAATTAAAGTTATATTTATTCCCAATTAAGTTATGTGTTATTCCAACATTTGTTCCCAATTGAAGTATTTCCAATATTTATTTCCAATTAAAGTTATATTTATTCCAAATTGAGTTATAATTTATTCCAATATTTATTCCCAATTAAAGTACTTCCAATATTTATTAAAGTACTTCCAACAATTAAAGTACTTCCAATATTCCAATTAAAGTTATACTTATTCCCAATTAAAGTATTTCCAATTAAAGGGATTTTTATCTTTGAATTTAAGACTTTATGAAAAATTCAAGATATCCCAAAACTGTCAAGAAAAGAAAAAAAAGACGATAATTCCTGTTAGGTTAACTTTTAATCTTGAATGATTCCTTTTTTTAGACATTGGTTGAAAATTTGAACGGTAAAATTTTGACAAAATATGGTTTAACACATAAATGTGGAACATTTATGGCAGCTGAGAAAACATATGCGGATTTATGTTGTTGTAATTATGATTGGTGTAATAAGTTAATGATCAATGAATCACCAATAATAATAACTAAGAAGAAACCAATAAGAGAAAGATGGAAGGAAAAATAAGTTGTAAAATAATTTTTGTAATTTATGGAATAATTTTTTGAATTGAAATTAATTTATATGAAGATTAATTAACTTGAAATTATTAAAATAAACGAAATAAATTTGTTTCAAAAATTTTTTTCATTTATTCTTTCATATAATTAATTTTAAAATTTAATCGTTGAAATTTTATTTTTCAATTTAAAATTATTATTGCATAAATTATTATAAAGCTATTTGTTCCACAGAAAGAGAGAGAGAGAGAGAGAGGGAGAGCATTTATTTTCACAAAACTCAATGTTATCAAAATTTTTGCTGCTAATTGAAAGAAATATAGCAATACCTGTCTTGTTTTTTTCTCTTCTATCTAATTATTTAGCAATACCTGTCTTGTTTTTTTCTCTTCTATCCAATTATTTTTCTTTTTTTTGTTCTTTAATTAATAATATTAAAATATTGCATAAATTTCAAAATGAACTAAAATCCTGAAATAATAAAATATTGAAATGAAATTTTATTTGAAATAAATAAAATGAAATGGAAAAGAAAATCTTTTATTCTTTTGTTTCTTTGATACATCAAAAAAATGGATTTTTGTCGTATTTGCGGAACCTTTTCATGATATAATTTTAGATCAAACATCAAAGATTCATTCCTAACAATTAGTTCGATTACGTAATTAGTACCCTATAGCATAGACGTTGTCGTTAATTTATATCAATATGAGAGTAGCATACGAAAGGTTCACTTCTATTTTAGATCTATGCGAATGAAAAGCATTTCCGATCCTGCTGGTAAATTTATGTAACATAGGTCATTTTGATAATAAGACTTTGATACATCACAAATTATACATCTCATCTTATAATATTCATCCATCATTTCATAATACCAACATATCATTCAACCTCATATTATCATTCTATAATACAACGTATCATTTTTATAATACCATGTATCATTCATTACTCTACAACACTGCATATCATTCTCCAATATCATTGTATTATTTTATCACTAATATAGCACGGATAGTGTGTTATCTAAACTCTTATTAATTTAATTTAATATTATTACTATTTTTTTTTCTCTATCTTTTTTACACTATTTATTTTCAAAATACAGGAATATTTTTGGGAATAATTAATTAACAAATTTGAAATCAAAAATTTTTAATTTGTAATTAATTATTATTTTTTGTCTTATTTTTATTCTTTTGTTTTTTAAGTTTAAGATATAAAATCTTTACAGCAAAAAGTTGAAAATAATTTTAAACGATGGGAAAAAAAACTAAAATTACTTTTTGAATTTTATATTATATTTTTCAAATGTTTTGAAATATCGTAATTCTTATTTTATATTTTACTATTATTAGAATATATAATTTATTGAAATATAAATTTAAAATAGAAATATAAAATATAAAATATAAAATATAAAATATAAAATCATTCACTATTTTTTTTTCGTATAAATGGTTAAAATTAAAATTTCAATTTAAGTTTTAATATTATCATATCATTTACAGAATGGTTACACATAGACACATATACACACGTATACTCTCATTATAATATATTTTCCCATAAGTTATGGAAATATATTAAGAAACGATCATTTACAGAAAGAGTAAGATATTGACAAATTAATTAATATTAATACTTCAGGTAAGATAGAAATATGCAAATATAATATTTATGTTAATTAACAAACTGTGTAACGATGATAAAGCATATAATTATTTGCAAATCATAGACTTAATTCTTATTAATATTTCGCATATTACCAATTGTTAATCTGTAAAGATTTCAAATTAATGAATGATCGATCGATTAGATTTCATTATCTTTTCTTTTTAACTTTTCAAAAGTCCTTTAAATTCTATTTCTATGATTGAAACGAAATCACATTTAATTTCAAAATTGCTTAAATTGATTTTATTTTATATTTGTCATTCTTTTTTTTCATCAAAGATTTAACCATGCAAATGTAACATATAATTATAATTAGGACATTGTCAACTATTTCGGGTCATTCCTTCTCCTTTTACATTTCTGCAAATTATTCCTTTTCTTTTATTTCTTAAACCTATAATTTTTTTTTAGATTTCTTTAACCTATATATATATATATATCACCGATTATTAGATTTTAGATCATTTGCTTAGCTCAATTTAGGTCATTTCTTGTTGGGCTCAAATTCAGATCATTTTTTTTAACCTATCTATTATCGATCATCGGATTCATTTTTTTTTTCAATCTTCTTACCTCGATCTTGTCTTTTTTCTTAACCTATCATTAACTAATGATGCATAATAGGCAGTTAATACTATTTCCGGCAAATTAAAATAAATAAACAATTTCGGAAATGTTACCAAGTGGATAACAGGAAATATCTTTGTCGGGAAAATTGAAATATTTTTTTATGATATAAATTCGTCGAAATTATAAAACTGTAAGAAATCTATGCTGCAATGATTGTTTACAACGATGCGATCTATCATAAATATTGCTTCAAAAACGGCTATAAATAGTTTGAAATAATTATCAAGATATTAAATGGTAAATTCTTTTATTATTTAATTCCTTTTGTTTCTTAAAAGATTTGTAAACAAATACGCTTTGTTTATCAAATTGTTTGAAAATATTGTTTATATAGCTATTGAAATGAATTATAAATAAGATGCTTCAAATCAATTCATATTATTATTATTTTATTAATTCCGAAATTATTTCGATAAGCGTTACCATTTAGTACATCGATATATCAATTCCAGTATTTATTTCAAGTACCACTTTAACATACTGATTTACTCTGCTTATGATATTTTTGATAATTATCTTAAAACGTTCGTTTGAGAACTTTTCTTCATTAATGAAATGTGATAAAGGTTTTATTTGATTTTATCACATTTACTCGGTTTATGCCAAATCTTCTTACCAATAATCATTATTATTTTATAATAATAATTAAAAATATTATATTGCTATCTTTATTGCTCACTATTATCACTATTATATTGATTTTATCACATTTACTCGTTTTATACCAATCTTCCTACCAGCAATTATTATCATTTTATAATTATAATCAAAAATATATTACTATTACTATCTTTACTATTCACTATTATTACTACTATTGTTGTTAACATTATTATCACTATTATTATTATTAATATATCATTATTATTATCATTTGCCTTCTATTGCAAAATTACTAAATTGAAATAAAACAGCAATGCAAAAAGGAAAAACGCTTCTTTTCCCTATAAACTATTTATTTCTATAACCATCAATAAATAATTATCGCTTTTTTTCCTTTGCTAAACTAATTTAAATTTAAATTTTAAAAAAAACAAATTTAATTTTTACGTTAATTAAATAATTCATTAATTATTACTTTCAAATTATTTTCTCATTCATTCGAATGAAATGCTTATATCTTTTATTAACAAACAACAAAATATTTGTTTTTCTATTGTTAAATTTTAGTTTAAAATTAAAAAAAAATAACATAAATTTTAGGGAGAGGAAGAGAAAAAAAGAATAATATTGTTTATAAATGTAAAGGAAAATCTATCATTTGGTATGAATTTTCTGAGTAAAAAAGAAATTTTAAAAAAAGAGAAATTTAAAAAAATAACTCTCTCTCTCCCTCCCTCTCTCTCTCTCTCTCTTTCCCTCTCTCTCTCTCTCTCTCTCTCTCTCTCTCTCTCTCTCTTTATCATTTTAAAATTGTTACTAAATTTTCATTTTGTCAATTCACAATTTAACCATCAATAAATGAATGGACGATTTAACGGATAAATCGCTTTCCGATAAAAATGTTTTTATTCTGCAATTTTTCAAAAACAATTTTTCTAATGCTTTGCATTATTTTTTTGCACTTTGTGTTATTCAGTTTTCATTCTTAATTTCTTTGTATCAAATTAATATCAGAAATGATAATAGGAATTAATTTAAATTTAAAAATGAAATAATAATAATTTTAAATTAAATATAAAGATAAATGAAGGATATCGTTCCTGTTTTCTTTTTATCAAATTAATATCAGAAATGATTATAGGAATTAATTTTAAATTAAGAAAAAAGTAATTACAAATTAAATATAAATATAAATGAAAGATATATTATATTGTATATTAAAAAAAAAAATTAATAAATTTTAAAATTTCAATTGAATTAAAACAAAATATAATAATTTATCAAATATTAAAAAAATATATATATATATTGAAAGAAAAGAAGAAAATTGTTAAATTTGGAATTTGAAATAAAATAAAATATTGCGTTTTAAAAAAAATAGGAAATCGAATAATTAAATTTTATAATTGAAAAAGAAATTTATTTTAAATGAAATAGAAGAAGAGGGAAAGAAGTAAATATAGTTCTTTTACTTTTCTAAAGCAAGAAAAAGGTGATGAAAAGATAAAATATACACCTGTTTTCTCTTCCTCTTTTATCATCATACAGAAAGTGTGTGTGTGTGTGTGTGTGTGTGTGTGTGTGTGTGTGTGTATATTCATTTCATTCCATTCAATTAGCCGATATGGTGAGAGAAGCGCTGGGCGCTAATTGTTTCTCCCATAATGGATGATCCTTTATAACATCGAACAATAAATGAATAGAAAATGAAGAGTTACAGGAGAGAAATACTGAGTGGGGGGTATGAGTGGGGGCGGATGTAGTGATGTGGGTGGAATGAAGTTAAGATGCGGGATCTTCTTTTTAATTCAATGAATAAGAAAAACATCAAAAGAAAACTTTCCATCATTCTCAACTCTTTCTTTCATTGTTTTTTGTTTTCGTTGATTCTTTTTTGTCAAAAGAAAAATTACAAAATGAAAAGAGATGAATGAATGAACGAATGAATGAAAAGGAAGGAAAATATGAATGAAATGAATGGATGAATGAATGAATGAATGAATGAATGAACAAATGAATGAATGAACAAATGAATGAATTGAAAAGGAAAGGAAAATATGAATGGAATGAATAATGAATGAATGGATGAACGAA